CCCTCCCCCTTCCCCCCGACGCCATTTAAATGCTAATGCCGGTCCCTGTTCGAGCGTGCACGGCCGCCCACGCCCTCGGCCGAAGGCATCGGCTTCTGATCGCGAGAATTTGTCCTGTTCCAAAAGGAATTTCCGCGTCCCCGGAGACGCACGGCTCCCGATCGCGGCACGAAGGTCACTTTAACCGCTCGTGGAATTGGCAGCGAGTCGGCTTTCAATTCGACCGGATAAAGTTTCGAGGGCATTTTAATTTATATTGAAATGAGGCATGCCGCTGGAGCGCCATTTTAGATTGCGCGTTTTCTTGGGCGGGACTGCGATTGGAAATAACGATTAAGTGGTTAGAACGAGGTTAGACGTCTGATTCCGGTCTGGGATTAATGGAATATTTCATTCGATCTCGATGAAGTTACGTCTAAATCCGGCGGAGTCTAGATCCGAATCTCGTTCAATTTAGTTTGTATGGAACGCCGATCCGGTCAAATCTAATCTGGCCTGATTAAGTCAACTCTGACGAGAGGTGAGATCAGACCTGCTTGATCGGTGTCCTTATGATCCACGAGTCTTTTAACCATTTGCGAACGAACGTCGAGATGAAATCTTCAATCTTTCGAAGACGCGAACGAATGATTTAATTACTAACACCAAGAAATCACGTAGTTTCTCGTTTCCCTATCAGTTAAGTAATATATAATTTAGCTTCATCTACCAAATATCTCCTATATCTCAAAGAACCTTCGTGCAGAAAGGGTTGAAACAGTCACTTAACGTGTAACAAGCACAATTCCAACCGAATCACACGGAAGTGTAACAGGAAATCCGGTAACAGACCGAACGATAAAGTATCCTATCAAAGTTCGATCGACCGGGGAGGAACGTGGCTCGGTGCCGTTGCCAGTCACAAAACTTTTTACTCCACCCTATAATTCGTACAGTTCGAGCAGCGGTGTTCGTCGTTTCGACGACACCGTCATTCCCATTATACCGGCGGTATCGCCGAAGAAATGATTACAAAGTTCGGCTCTCGGGCGTGCTCGTATTCCTCGAAACGAAATTTCATTCCCCGGCCCCGGCGTCGGATTACCATTTATATGGGAGGGCGGGGGAGGAGGAGGAGGATCCGTCCCGCGCGTCGCCGTCGGACGTCAACATCGAAATCCGGGGAAGCGATCCGATACGAAATGGAGAGAAGTGTCGCGAGCAGAGTCGTCGGGAGCAAAAAGAGGTGAAAGGCGGCGCAGGGAGCGTGTCCCGAAAGGGGTGGGCGCGGAGGATGGCCGGGCTCTCCTCGCCGGTTTTTATCATCGTTCTAAAGTGCACATTTCTGTAAGACGAATCCTCGTCTAACCGGGGAAAAACTCGCAGCTACCCCTGTTTCCAGCGCCGCGCCGCGCCGCGCCGCGCCGCGGATGTCAACTCTGCCCCGGGGGACGCGGGGGATGAAGGAACGCCGGCGATCGAGACTTACGTACGACGAGCCGCTCGGATATTAAGTATCCGTCGAATGGTACTTTATCGATGTCTAATGTCATTCCGGTGCCTCCGGTGTACCGATCCCGGGCCGATCGATACGCCAGCTGAAATATCGTGACGTTTATGATGTCAAGCCGTTCGGTTTTCCAATCTGTTCTCCTCCTCGGACTGTGATGTCCTTGAATTTCATCTGATTCGATGGTATATTGGATGAGAACAGTCGGGAGCTTGCTTGGGAATGAATGATGTGCGTTGGAGAGGATTGATTCGATTTGAGCTCTAATAATGACGAGTGAATCTCGCGATGAAGATTTATACACTAATTTAACAGTTTGCTATCCACAGATCAAAGCAAACTATATCGTGACGTTTATGATGTCAAGCCGTTCGGTTTTCCAATCTGTTCTCCTCCTCGGACTTTGATGTCCATGAATTCCATTTGATTCGATGATATATTGAACGATGGTCGGGAGCTTGCTTGGGAATGAATGATGTGCGTTGGAGAGGATTGATTCGGTTTGAGCCCTAATAATGACGAGTGGAACTCGCGATGAAGATTTCTAGATTAATTTAACCCTTTGCACTCGAAACTTTTCCACTGGAAATATTCAACATTTCCCGACAAGATATAGACGACATTGTTTGGAACCGATTTAACAATAATTCACAGATAAGTTAAGCAACAAAGCTGTTTTATTTAAATATTTCACACAGCAATACAAAGTTTCATTTAAAATACTAAATATTCAACTTCATAGGGTTGCTGTATCAAATCAAGTGGTGACTGAGAGTCACCTCTCGAGTGCAAAGGGTTAACAGTTTGTTACCCACGGATCGAAGCAAACTATTTTGCTATTATCAATGTATCTTCAACTGAAATTTCCACTTGTAGAATGGAAATACGCCAAGAGTAATGATAACCGTTTCGTTGGTTTATTAGGTGAATCTATTTATGTTTGAGAATTATGGGTTTAGTTTGAAAATGAGAAAGTTGATCGGTTGGAATAGAGCGAGGAGATAAAGAACTCGAAACGGAGTCCACTGTAAGGAAGATTCCCGACAATTGAACCCCGTAGACAAAAAAATCCATCGTCTACTTATCATTCAGCGTATCGCGGATCCCCGAAGTATCCAGCAACCCCCACATTTCAATTCCTATTTCCCGAGAATCTCTCCCGCAGGCCTGATAACACTGGGTTGCGTCTGATATCTCGGAGTTTCCATCAGGATTGTTTCTCCGCGAAATTTCCACCGGAACTTTCCGCGGCGTTACGCCGTGTGTATGCGCGGTGCATCATCCGCTGAGGGCGGTGCTCGCCAGCGAAATAGCAGGAAATGGAGGGGAGGTGGTTAAGTATTCCGAAACGACGAAAGGGTTTGAACAAAGGCGGAGGGGGGGGAGAGGAAGATGTCGGAGCTAGGCTTGGCATTTCATAGAATCGCTAATCTGGGATAGAGATCGTTAAAAACCTGAAGCTTTCTGTTTGAAGCTTGCACTATTTTCCAATTATCTTTGAACTGTCTTGGAACTATCTTTCAACTATCTTTGAATTATTCCTGAAGTGTCTTGGAAGTATCTCTGAACTAGCTTTGAATTACATTTGAACTATCTCTGAACTGTTTCTGAATGATTGCTGAACTATCTCTGAAGTACCTCACAACTATCTCAGAACTATCTCCGAACTTTCTCTGAACTATCTTCAAACTATCTCTGAATGATTGCTGAACTATCTTTGAATAATTGCTGAACTATCTTCGAACTATCTCTGAATGATTGCTGAACTATCTTCGAACTATCTCTGAATGATTGCTGAACTATCTTCGAACTGTCTCTGAATTATTCCTGAACTATCTTTGAACTATCTTCGAATTATCCCTGAATTATTGCTGAACTATCTTGGAACTACCTTCGAATTATCCCTGAATTATTGTTGAACCATCCTGGAACTATCTCCGAAAAATCTTTCAATCACAATAAAAAAAGTAATCCAACCACAGCCACAGAGTACAAGGAAGAAAATTCAAGTAGAAAGATCCGAATCATTACGTAGCATCCCCTCGGATGTCCTTGGACGCTTTAAAAACCGAGAACCTATGGCATCCCTACTCAGAGCAGCGTCCGTAAAGCTATTTTAGGGAACGACGCGTCGCGACGCGTCGCTCGATGCTCCCGTAGGAAGGTCGCGGGCCTGAGTGTAGCCGGTTGCGGTTAAACGCGGCCAAGTTTCGTCGCGAGAGGGAACAGGCTGGAAAGAGAAGGGAACACAGAGAGAAAGAAAGAGATACGTTTCCGCATTTTTCCCTTCTGCGGCTGCCGCTACTGCTGCTTCTTCTTTCCTTTTCTTTTACCGGCGGGTTCACACCGATGTGGAAATCCTCGTTAAGCACGAACCAGGCCGTAGGACGCGTCGCGCCGGCATCGGGTCCGGTGCCAACTGCCGCGTTGGATTTCGCGCCAGACCCGAACCGAATTGCCGGTGCACGCCCGGACGATTCCTTCTCTTTTTTAAACTTTAAAAAGATCCTGGAATTGGCTGCGGTTTATGGAAATCCCGTTCCTCCGAGAGGGTGGGACTGCTGAAAGAACGGAGGGATGTTCGCTGATTCGGGGAGAATTTCATCGAGCGTACGCCTGAATAATTGGATTGCCTGTAGTTTAGTACATCGCCATTTCTCTATGCAAACGTCTAATTCTCTTCGTCTCGGATTGCACAACTGAATTTCCCTGAAACGTTGGAAACGCTGAAAATTTAGGAACCAGGTTATCCAGAGAAAATCATGCGTCGTTGGGAGCAGCCGGAAGATGTTCATTATATTAAAGTAATATTCCACCGACAAGGATTTATTAACCTCGTCACCTCGAGTAAAATATTCACCGATCGTTGCAGAAAGTAGATTAGCGCGTAAAACATCCTCACTCCCGAAAACTACCCCTCAAAGGCGCAGTCTCCCGAATTCGGACGGCCGTAAAGATCCCCGCGACAACGAGGATTCGCGAAATTAGAGATCGCGTGCGACGCGATTCGCCGAAAACGCGAATCACCCGTTTTACGGTGTCGAGAACGGGCAGTGCGCAAAGCAGAAGCAGAAGCAGAAGAAGAATAAGAAGAGATAAAACTATTCAAGCTCAAGGAAAATTGCGATCGCCAGGGAAGACAGAGAAGCGACACCCAGGCGAGAGAGTGGGGAATCAAGAGAACCACAGAAAATTCATCGAATTTCCCCGGAGGATCGTCCGAAGCAGTTTAGCAAATGGGCTTCATCTCAATTTTCAGTTCGGAACGGGTCTCCCCTCCCCGGGAGCGTATCCCGCTCGCGAGTATTCGAAACGGAAGGATCTACCTGGATCCTTATCTGCCGATTAGTCGGAAACCGGCGGATTCCGGCGAGCAATCTCCGGAAAACCTCGTCCCTCCTCGAAATAGAAAATCTCCTGGAGAAACGACAACAGAGGCTAGCCCGAGATAGCTCGCGGAAGCCACCAGCTAGATGGGTCTAAGTGGCCCGCTACTCACTTGGAATATCCCGAACGCTGTTCCGAGGTGTTCATTTGTCTGCGCGGCCGTCGTCACGATCATTACTCTCTCCAGCCGCCTCTCTGTTCCCCTGAATCCCTCTTCTTCTCCTTCTTCTTCTTCTTCGTCTTCTTCAGTTCCAGCACTCTAAGTCCCTCAGTCCTATCTCCTCCCCGTGAACACTGTGTGCGAGCCGCGCGCCACGATCACAGCGACGGCTCGCATGGATCTACGCGCATCTTGCCCCGTCCGCACAGAAAGCACAGGTACACTCAAGCACCAGTATATACTCGCGCGCGCGAACCCGCAATCAAACACCCGCAGGAACGGTCCAGTGATCAGTCAATTCTAGCCAGCGTTTAGCACCCATCATACGATCCCAGACAAACGGCGATCGAGCGGGACTCTTCGAGCGATCTTTCTAAACTTCACCGACGAGTCTTATCCATCGGAATCATTCGAGTTCCATTAGTTCGTACGGGATCGCTCGAGGACCTTGGACTCACTGGGTCAACCGCAATCAGCTGCTAGCAGGTGCTACCAGCTCCAAGCTAGCAGTGCTGCGTCCCTCAGGTGTTTCGTTCCCCTTTGACCTACGGGTCGCGTCGCGATGTTCACGGTGTCTCGATGATTAGTCTCAGGTGTCCCCGAAGTTTTTCTTCCCAGTCACGTACCGCCACCGAGCGCACCGTGCCTGCGAACCGCGCAGCGGACACGCAACCAACGCGACTACGCGTCCTCGACTGGAGGCGCCTGCGGTCCAGGCTGCCACGCAGTGTACTGAGCCGTGCCGGCTGCCCGGGAGAACCCGTGGGCGAACGAAGCTCCCCGAAAATCTGCGAAGATCCTCGATTCGATACGCTCCCTCTCCGTCCCGCTCGCTGGTCGCTCGCTTCCCTACCCGACGTCCTCTTCGGGGACGCGCGCGCCAGAGAGCTGGAGCAGACGATAGATTCCGGAGAATTGTGGCACGACCCTGATATACCGTTTGATTCCGGTGCCTTTATGCAGGGGACACCTTGTATAACGCGGCCGGCAGTTCGAAAAATACGCTGGGGACATGGACCGCCGGGCTCCGGCCGACGCGCGCTGCCCGCCGCCGGTTTTTGACAAAACGATGCGTGAAATTGAACCGATCGCCCGCTGGAGATTGTATCTATCGCGGTCACTCGTCGCGCGCACTTTTCACAGATTTTAATCGTTTTCCGATTTTACTGTCGCGACCGGTCTTCCAGGGGTTGAAGGGATCGCGGATCGGCGGATTTATTGGAGAACTGCTTTCTGTCGGGGTTGTGGATTCTACGGAGTTCTCGGAGGATGTTTGTTCACGGGGAATTTATTTTGTAGAACGGTACGGACTGTTTGATGGATGATCTTTCAATGAAGGCTCTTCTTTCTTGTTTGCCTTGTTTAGGCTAATTTACAGAACTCGATAATCGATCGACTTTCAAAGCTTTGTCGGCCCGGCCGTAAACGGAATAATCTACTTCGTGGCCCAGTTCGGTGGTACAGGGAACAGAGACGAAAGGTGACCATTCAGGTCAAAGTACCATTACCCTTTGTCGGGGCGTACGCGCGTCTGACTATGAATGGAGGAATCTACTTGGTCTACCTGGCAGCGCGGAGCTAGAGGGAATTGTGCGACGCGTTTGATGGATGATTTCTGAATGAAAATCTGTTACCAGACGCTGTCAGTTACACGCTTACCGCTGATTTTAATTAGTCGGTGATTAGGAAGCTTTCGGATACTCCCTGTGGTCTGATCGTAGATCGATCAAGCTACTTCGAGCCTGGATTTAGAGACACTTCGTGACTTCGATACTTCTGTACACTTTATATCAAATTAACTATTCACCTCGTAGCTACGAGATTTTCCGGCAGTATCTCTGTACTGTAACGCGTGTATAGAATTGTGTGTAACGCTTGTTACTACGATATTAGAAATGTTGCTAGACAATGTTAGAGAACAAGCGTGAAGTGAAAGAAATGATGGCAGTCCTGCGATACGTTAACACTAAAACTAGTGAGCAGTCAGATTGACTTCGAGGAATTTATTTATAGAAACACTAAGAGCGTACCTATGGAGACTTTAATTGATTCATGATTGAGTTTGCCTAGTGCTGAATCAATTTCTTTAATCATTTCCGAGGGAAACAGTTGCTTATGAAGCGATGATACGATGATTATTTCAACACATTTCTATATTGTACACTATGCTACTTAACGCAGTTTTGTTCAGCTAGATGAACATACAAATGAAGCTTTTAACAATCTCAAACTTGCCAAGAAACTTCAACCTACCAACACTTCGTGTCCCAGCAATACTAACAAACTATTAATACCTTATTCGCATAACTCAATCAGACTCCACGAAACTGTTCAACATTGTACCCTTTATTTATCTTGCAGGGCAGATTAAAAATTGCTTGGTGTACAAAGGGTTAACATGTTGAGTGTCGCACGATTTTCCGAGACGAATATAGAAAATGAAAATAATATCATCTTATGTAATTGAATTACGTTGTTATTATTGCAGGATTGAATTGTTGAATATCAGTGCATTAAGTGGTATTGCTGGTAATATAGAAAACTTTTTAAAGAATTATCCTGTAATCGAATGAATTATAGTAATTCGATTTGGTTGAGGTCACCGGTGACCCCCATATCATCCAACACGTTAATAATAATAAAACGAACCAATTAACCCCTTGACGTACTATTTATTTTCGTTACTAAGCTCGTGTAACATTTTACTATCGACAATTTAGAAGAAAAGTAGCAAAACTAGCATTTTTTTTACGTAACTAAATTATATTGTTATTATAGTAATTCGATTTGGCTAAAGTACCAGTGACCCCCATATCATCCAACGCGTTAATAATAAAACGAACCAACTACACCAATACAAATGAAACTCCAATAATCTCAAACTTCCCAAGAAACCTCAACCTACCAATCCTCAAACCAACACCCCATATCCCAGCAATCCTAACAAACTGTTAATACCTCATTCTCATAACTCGATCACCGTACTCCATGAAACCGTTCAAAGCACAAAGGGTTAACACGTTGAATGCCGCACGATTTTCCGAGACAAATATAGAAAATGAAAATCCAACGCGATAATAATAAAACGAACAAACTACACCGATACAAATGAAACTCCAATAATCTCAAACTTCCCAAGAAAAACCTACCCATCCTCAAACCCATATCCCAGCAATCCTAACAAACTATTAATACCTCATCCCATAACTCGATCACCGTACTCCATGAAACCGTTCAACATTGTACCCTTTATCTGTCCCGCAGGACAGAACGAACGAATCTACTTCGTTTCATGGTTCAAGGGAAACAGGCCAACGGGATGGGCAATCCATTCCCGTTAACTCCGGCCCGGCTCCCATTCATTCCGGATCCCGTTGTAGCTTTTAATCGGTAGCAACTTTCGCCGTGACGAGGCTGGCCGGGTCGCGCGCGTTAGTTACCGCGTTCACGGGCCTGGTATCTCCTCTTTTTCCGGGACACTCCGTGTCACTGAAAGCCGAACGATCCACCCGGTAAACATCGTTCCCCCTGCTGCGCGAACAGTCGTCTGATACTCGCAAATACGCCGGCCTCGTCTCCCGCAGACGCCTAAGACGATCAAACACCAGCCGGCGCTTGGATTCTTGATCTTCCTCCTGTAATCCCGTCAGCCAACATAACCGTGCATCCACGACGCTCAGCCCCGCTATCTGATCGTCGACGATAAACTGCGGACACGGAGACTTAATAAGAGACGAGCCTGACAAACTATCCGCGTTTTCTTCGACTTTGGACGTCTACCAGCTAGCTAAAGGATTCTCCGAGAGAATATCAGGGAATTCGGAGATAGAAAGATGGAAGATTGGGACCGGTTAGCTAGAGTTACTTTTCTTTCTAGGTGATTCGTACCTGGTTTACATAACAGTTTCCTTAACGGCTACTACATTGTTTCTTTCGTTGAAGTTTTGATTTTTGATAATTGCTGAAATTGGGGTATATGGATATCGTGTATGTAGACTTCATTGGAATCTTGAGGAGGGAGTCTAGGGCGTTCGATAAATCATCCCGTCATCTCGAAGCGACACTGCTTGGGGGATCTGGAAGATTCAACGCTCTCGACGCTTGACATATCCAGAAATTCAAGTATTTAGATGACGTATGGGGTGTCCGTGTGAAAACAAATGTATTAGTATCTTCTTTATTTCTAATGATATGTTCTAGAAGTAAGTTCATAATATAGGGACACTTAAATCTCATAATCTCATATTGTCATCTCTATTAAGTAAAAGACAATACACGCACTCCAATAAAACCACAATAATTCCAAAAATATTTTCTTAACCCTCAAATTAAAAAATTATTCAATCCACATTCACTATTTCCTCTTCTCAAAAATACCAACCAAAATTGCCAGATGTTCTCATGAAACACCCCATACATCAAACGCAAACTCCGTCTAAGGAAAGATCCCGTATCGCATCAGGGAACGCAACGCGCGCCGGTTCGTTAAAACATTACGGTTGAATTATTAGACATCGTTGGCTGCCGGGTTTGTCGGCGAATCGGCTTGCGAGGGTGCCGGCGGGGGATGGCGGGACGCTGCAGCACGTATCGTTGTCGAAACGCCGATATTTATGTCGCGCGGATACCGCCGATGCCGGAAGGTTTTCTGTAATGCAAATGTTTGGGCACCGCTAAAAGGCTCGATTTTTGCCGCGCGCCACCTGCGTCGTCGCGCGAGAGCTGAATTTCTATCGCGGCGCACGTGAACACCGGCGATCGCGGATTAACAAGAGGATCGACGGTTCCGCGGAATCGAGAATCCGCAACGGCTCTCCTTACTCGTCGTAAATAAAATAATATTGCCCGTGAACGTTCCGGCGAGAAGTCGCGCGTCGCGAGACGCTGCAGCCGAATTTGCATTCCAAAATGTCGGCCGCCGCTGTCGCTACACGCCCGACACCGAGCCGATATTGAATTTATCGTCGAGAGAGCTCGTCCGTCGTATCTCGCCGAGCAGGATATTAATTTTTCCGGCGGACTCGAGTACATTCGCGCTTCGACGAACCGACCGCTCTCTGATCTTTAATGAGGATTCCTGAAGGAATTTTTAGATAGATGCAACAGCGTTGCTCTGCAGTCGAGAGGATGGGTTTGCATTATTGAGAACGCGCGTGGAATTATGTTGACGCTGAAGTGGTTTCGTTGTTTGGACTACTGTCTGTGATAGGAACAGAATGACGTATTGGAGGTTTGCGACTTCGATATTTACGAGATCTGCGTCTTCTGTAGCTTTCCCGTTAGTTTTTCTTGCTTTTTAACCCTTTGCAGTCGAAAGGCGACTCCTAGTTGCCAGATGATTTAATACAGAAAATTATAAACTTTGGTATTTACCATTAACCTTTGCGTACTGCGTCGATACACTATTATCTAGTTATCTACGCTATTGAACACTTTCATTCGAGTTATCTTACAAGTTATAATTATTTTCTTATAATTTCGAAGCTCCGGTCATCGATGATCGTGGCAATTAACGTGTTGAGTGCAGAAAAGAGGAATTGAGGAAATGAACGACTTCTGAAATGATTGCGCAATATGTTCGGAAGCTGTAAGAAGCGATTTCTGAGCTGCAAAACACGAAGGAACGAGTCAGTTCTTTAACCAGTTAACTGTGTTTGACAAGTATACACGTCATCTTAAAACTCTTAATGGTGCTAACTTTTTCAACGATGGATTATTTATTTTTTGAGGCAAACATATAATTCTCCTTCGTT